CACTAAAATTATATGCAATAAATTCAAATTATATATTTGTAAAATATATTTGTTTCATTAATGATTTTTCTTGCGATAACTTTCGGTTACATTGGTATAAATAAAATCAGAATATTTATATTCTAATTATTCCACTAAAACATTTACAAGATGGCAGGTTGTACAGATCATATAAAGGAAAATATTTGACTGAATTTTAATGGTAACTGTACTGTTTTGTTCAAATGTAATAATTGCTTGATTTTTATTGTGTTTTCTTACCTTTGGAGATAATAAAGTTTTTATCGGCTCGTGTTCTTTTTTCCTATTATTTTTTTATTTTCTAAGCATAGCTTAGATGTGGTACAAGGCCGAAAGTATGGGGAACCCAATGAGGATCGAACTCACTATTCAGCCATAATTGTTTTAGCGAGACAAGCTTGCTAACCATTACACCACGCCGAGGTTCTCCTATAGCGATTTTCTAAGCGCGGGCTTAGATGTGACACAACGCCAAAAGTATGTGGCATCCACTGAGGATCGAACTCACTACTCAGTCGTAACTTATCTAAGAAGACACGCTTTTTAAGTACTACACCACGTCGAGGTGCCCAAAGTGATTTTCTAAGCGTAGCTTAGATGTGGCACAAGGCCGAAAGTATGGGGCACCCAGTGAGATTCAAACTCACTACTCAGTTATAATTGTCCTAGCTAGATAAGCTTGCTAACTATTACACTGCCCCGAGGTGTCTGTTTTGCGTTTATTGTACTCATGTCTTGTTTAAGCAAAATAATACCTCATAAATATAGACTAGGCTGTACCATTTACTAATAATTTTACTTATTACTCATTTTGTCTTGATTTGCCCTGCTGAAATTGGGGTGCGTCTTATACACCCGTGCGTCTTATATGCCGTCAAATACGGTACTTAAGTGTTTTTGAGAGATGCTAGTTTCATTTGGTAATGTGTCCTGTGAATAACGAAAAGAAGGTTGAATGTATGTGAGAAGTAAAAGGGATGGGGAAATGACGAGAGAGGAATGGTAGTAGTTGTTAAAGCCGAGATGTCTTTTATATATCCGCTCACAGTTGTGTTTATCTCTCTGTGTCTTCTCTGTGTATCTCCTGTTGGAATCCCCCCCCACTTTTTTAGACAGGGGTCTATTTATATTGTTAACGAAGTTGAAAGAAGCTCCGATTAAGTCGTTGATTATTTCAGGCGCGCTCATTTCTTGTTGGTCAACATATATTTGTTTAGGATTGTATTTAATCAACTTCAACCGGAAGTTATGCGTGGAGCCGATTGCGCAAAGCCCGAAATATGTCATTATGTTTTAAGCTATGAAAGCGGTAACTTCCTGTTTCTGCTCTTAGTATCCCTACACACACACACACACACACACACACACACACACACACACACACACACACACACACACACCAAACAAAACATGTCTGTAAATTTATTACTAAAATATTGAACATATATTTACTTAAAAGAGAATAACGTCTCAATTCATATCCTGCTGTGTTTTCTGTAATATGTTTTCTTCGCCATTCATTTTCCGGTTGGACATTTTCCTGAAATAAACCCCCAAAAAACATAACGATTATTTTTTATTATTAATAAAAATAGGAGGGTATTTCTGTAGTGATCTCTAAGGGGTGAGATTTACTTACAGCTAAAAATAGAAATATTTTACGCCAATATGTTTTATTTTTTTATGGCAGCGTTATTCCGCGGGAAAGTTATTGAAATACACTAAGCTCTTTTGATGTGAAGACATCTTTCTTTCTCCTTAAATAAGCAATCGTTCTGGGTATGACGATAAAATACATCCGGCAGCAAGGTCTCTGATCGGGAGATTTGAGGTTCTGAGGAGCCTGGAACGACTGCTTAATTGCAGTTGCTCCCAAGTCCACCCTGAACCGAGGTGGTAGCACCTGTTAGGGTCCCAGCTATGGGCAAATAGTGAATCCCAAAACAAAAACAAAACAATATGGAAGTATAAAAATATATTTTCATAGTAAAACTGCCAGCAGTTCTTGTTTATATAAAACATTACAAAATATACTTATTTATAGTAAAATTACTAACATTCCATTTTGTTGTAGCATACCTACTCATGATAATGGATATGTCCCCATTCGCATAAATACAGTAGTAAATACTGTATGTTGGTCTGCAGTCTGAGATTAGTTCATATAATATTCGGGAATTACTTAAAGAAATCAAACTATTTCAAAATATAAATAACTTCATGAAAACTACAAAATAAAATACACATATCACCGTCTCTAGTAATTATGTCCACACAAACATGTATATGCACAAAAGCTGAGTTTTATCTACCATGTATTCAATTGGGAAAGCAGAATAACATATATCAATCTTATTACAGAGAAACCTCGAATCTCGAACATCTCACATGTCGAACAAATCGGTTTTCGAACAGAAAATTCGAGATGAAAATGCCACGGATAACGAACAAAATTTCGGTTCTGGAATAACATAGCCGAACCGAGTTAACCCGAACAGAATAATTTCTGAGGCGACCGCGTTGTTGTATATATTCATGTGTTGTACCGCGCTTTTCTTTTCCGATTTTATTGTACAGTGCCTTTTTTTTCTCTCTACGTTTCTCTAAAATTGGAATATAATTTCAGTTTACGAACGTTGCGGCCTTCAGGAACGAATTAAATTCGTAAACCGATGTTCCACTGCACTTCACATCTTCCATCATACTATCACTAATATGACAACGCGATTAGCCAAATTCGCCCGGTTTACACGCCTTCCTAGTCTATTGAACATGAGTAGAGGTTTGTCCTTTGTATTGGGTTCCCGGCTCTTTCTAAAGTTTTCTCCTTCTCTTTCATTTCCAGGAACCCTTTGTGTCACTATCGCCTCGCTTGGGGTGAAATGATTAATTCTGAGGTTTAACAATCTGGGAAAAGAGCTTATTATATACGAATAAATTTTCAGCATTAAATGACCCATGAGTAGTTGATATTCGGGTAAGCAAACGATCAAATTATATATCTAAAAGAAATAGAACTTTAGCAAATATAAAACTGTTTAAGATACCTGTAGTTGAAAGCATAAAATTACGTAGAAAAATATGTATATTTCGGCATCAAATAACCCATAGAGGTGTTGATATGCAGCTAAACAAAATCAACTTACCGACTGAATAAGCAAAATGCAATATTTTCGAAATTTACTTAAAAGAGTCAAATGACGCATTCTTATGGGAATTCATTTTTGAAATAATTTTCATTTTATTTTCTGTTTAGGTTTTTCGGTGCACGACCCTTTGTCAAAAGCCAAGTGTTCGCCTTGTCAATTGATAACAATACAAATAAGTTGACTGCCTTTAAATGTTTCTTTCTGGTCAGAGGTCTCCCACGCTGAACAAGCGACACCGACGCCGGACTCGTGAGAGAAATGTTCGCTGCATTTTACAGTCATACCTTTTTGATTGAATTTAATGTTTTTAAAAGCAAAACAATCATTTCGGATTTCTGTCTTTCTTCGTGTGTAAGGGAATATGGCGAGGGAATCTGTTTTTTTTTGTTTTTTGTTTTTTTTTTTAATTCTTTCCATGTTTATAGTTTGTTTGTTTTTTGTTTTTAGTTGTTTTATTTTTGCATTGTTTGTTTATTTTCTTTTCTGTTATATTTATTATTTTCTGTCGGAAAATAAAAGTTTTTTTACTTTTGAAAACACTAATTGTCACGTGTGGCGCATACGCCGTGGCAAACTTTCTATATGTCGAACAATGATTTATTATAAATCGTTATTTCGTTCCAGAAGTATAACTAAACTGAAGCAAGTGAGAAGCGTGCCATGGGCGCCAAATGTGAGGACGCCGTCACTTTGATTTCCAAAAAGCAATTTACCTTATCTTGGTTTCCTGTGGTCTAATTTTTAGGACACACTCCAGTTAAAGAAAAAGTTTTCCGGTTGGAAAAGGGGAACACGGAGTAGATTCCTGTCAGGGGGCACATTTCTCGTTAGTAACGCCTTTTCAACTACTAGGCCGGTTGGCATTAATTTCACTACTTAAAATAACAAGGATGTTAACTCAGATACATGTACCCACGAAAACTGATATTTATGGCAATAAAAAAATGGCCTCAGCTTTAAAAAAAAAAAGTCCATTTAAAATTCATCCTGATTTCTTTCAAATTTCCCTGGGCTCAAGTATAATCGTTGAATAAGTTACGAGGATATAAACTGTCAAATTTAGTGACCATTAACAAAACAACGCACAGAATAGGTTAGAATCATTCTCAACTCTTAGGTCGTTTCAATCTATCACTAACTAATTCGTTAATAACTGCTTCTTGAGTTTGGAACTGACCATTTTTCCAGCATCTTTAACGATGGCTCGTATCTACGAGGTTTCGTTACACAAAGTAAACGCTCTGGGGAAGAAACTGCCTGGGTAGAACTTTCTTTTCTGAAGCGGCTCCGTGGGTTGAGTTTGGTTGAGTATGCTAAAAACGAACTTACATCGGTCGAAACAGTACATATGTTTGTATTTGTCACAACTTTATCCTTAATTATTTTTGGCATTATTTCTCTCCATTATTTATAAATTTGGAATAAACAGATTTCAAGTGCGCTTTTTTATCCTTTCTCCTTTTTTGTGTACAAATAATAATGGACAATTTTGCTTTTTCTGTGATTTTTTCCATAATAGACACACCCTTTTAACTCTTTACAGTGATCTCGTCAAGGGCAAACGACATCCCGGAGCCCCAAAACGCTGGTGCAAAGACCAACTGAAGTCTTCCCTATGTCAAGCCGGAATCAGTCAGGAAAACGGAAGCCGCCGACCGACCCTCCTGGCGAAGAGGAATTGCCTGTGTCAACGTTTACATTTTAAAATTTTCTCGGGTACTTCCAGCGCCTAAGTTATATGCTATAATTTATTCATAGCCGACATTTTCGCAGATGCGTCCAAGAACCCCTTTTTGGTGCACGGCCTAGTAGATTGATAGATTAATCAGTTTGAAACACCGGTTCTCATACGATCACCGAAGCTAAGCAACATCAAGCCTGGTTAGTACTTAGATGGGTAACCGCTAGAGAATAAAAGCTGTTGTAAGATCTGATGTGCGGTTGTAATGGATAACGACTGGGAATTGGAAATCGAAAACACGAGTTCGAATTCCAGTAGGGCTGCTCATGAGAAAAAAATGTCGTGAAAATATTTATAGAAAAATCCGAGGGAAGTCATGGCAATCGGAAAGTAACTGAAATTGAGATGCCAGGTCAGGACTAGTAACATTGCAGATTCTCCTTTGAATTTTATCAAGAATCTCTAAAGACATAGCAGAAGCACCAGACCAGATGTAACAGCAATATTGGACGAATGGTAGACTTATAAATATGTAAGATAAATTCTGGCGAAGACAATTGTCTAGTATGACACAGTGAACCAACTTTCTTAGCAGGGGACGTTGCACTTGATGTCAGCGGAAAACCTTAGCCCGGGAAAGCGTAATGTGTCACTTTACCTGGGGTTAAGCATCAGCCATGATTCTTAAAGAGTTTAAGTTTGGTTTGGTTTGGTTTGTTCTATTTTTTACGGCATATCAACCTCAATGGGTTATTTAATGCCGACAAGATTCTTATTGATGGTAATATTTTTTCCAAAAATGTATTGCTGTTAATATTTTTCTTTTTCAGAAATGTACTGCTGTTAATAATTTTTCCAAAAAAGTATTGTTGGTAATACACCTATTTTTATACTTTCATAGTGCTTTCACCCCGCTTTTTGGGAGGTGGGTACCTTTTTGCCCATAGCTGGGTCCCTGACAGGTGCTACCACCCCGGGCCATACTGGAACTAGGAACACCAGCAATTAAGAGGTGGTTCTACGCTCCTCAAAACATTCTGTTCAAAGGCCTTGCTACTGGATGTAGTTTATCGTCTTACCCAGGACGAAAAGGGTTTAAGGATAGCATTACAGGACCGATAATATTACTGGCCAATGTTTGGATCTTGTCGAGAACCTCAAGATATATTACAAAAGTTCCAGGCCAAATGTGGCAGATATATTCAATGCACGGACGAATGGAAGATTTATAAATGTGCAACATGGATTTTGGCGAGAAAAAAATTAACTGGCACGACACAGTGAACCAACTTTTCTAGCAGTAGATCTAGAAGTTGATTTAATATGATCACTCCTCTTCATGTCAGTGGAAAACGTGTAACCAAGAAGGCGCAATGAGTTGATCTCCTGAGGGTTAGCATCAGCCATATTGGTGGAGGGCAAAAAATGATTCTTTATGATGATTAAAGAATAGCAGTTACGTTTCGGAAATTAAAAAGATAAAAAACGTTGACACAATGCAGATGTCCGATATCGGCAAGAAATTGCTCAATATAGGACTTCGTTTTTCGTTTTTTTTTTTTTGTTATTTTTTTTCAATTTTTGACTAGAGTATTTTTGACAGGATGAAGTTGAGGTAGATAAGGGCCGAATCGAAGAACGGCTAACCAAGGAGATTAGGTTTCACATTCATATAACTTATTATGATAATTATTATAATTGTCCGCAGGTACAATTGATGTCGCAGACGAAGATCCACAACATCCAAGACGAAGAGCGTCCACATCAAAAAGCAGGACCGACGCACCAACAACTAAGTCCTTAATCACTCGGAAATGCCGTGCGTTGAAACCGTCACCCTCAAGCATCGCCTCACAGGGTCAGGACATGTCATCAAAATGCCCCCCGCGGACCATACAGTGATCTCATCGACGGCAAGCGACATCGTGTAGCCCCAAAACACAGGTGCAAAGACCAACTGAAGTCTTCCCTTCGTTTACCTACTTCATGCTGCTGGTGAGTATTGTACTTTGTTGATGTTATAAAGATTACCCTTTCATTTTCAACCTCCATTTTGGTTAATCCTCATTCAGTAACCCTCTCTAGGTTAGAACAGATTCGATAAACGTTTCTAAATTTAGGTTTTCTCATCTGTTTACGAAATTAAGTCTTTGTCTCTCATCATCGTGCGTCTGGCAGAAATACTGTAAATGTTTTAACTGAACTAATGATTTTGAAACATTTTGTTCTGTATCTGATAGCAAGCATCATCTGCTATCACTCCCTGACTTGCACATTGTACTGCAGTATTTGAAGAGTAATCGTGAGAAGTGGGTGATTTTTATGTTAGTATAGTCACAGTGATAATATTAATAATTATATCAAGTGTTAGTGACAATAACTTGGAGCTGAAATTATTGTTTCTGTGTTATATTTTTCAAGGGGAGACAACTCAACGCCGCCACCTCGGTCAACCAGGACAAATCTAACATCGGGTCAAACCCGCCGCCAGGTCAACTTTATTTTTTGGAATTTTGAAATTTGTTTTTTTTGAGTTTTAACACGATTAAATTAATAAGTTATTTTAATTTTTATAAAAAAAAATCAGGCAAAATTATGAAATTAATCTTTTTTATTCTTTTTCTTTATATAAAATCTAAAAATTAAAAAAATATAATTATAATCATTTTATTCATATTAATTTTAAAGATTAAAAAAATAGTTTCAATCAACTTATTAGCATTAATTTTAAAAATAAAAGAAATGTAATCATTATATTCAAATTTCCCGGAAGGCGAATTGACCCGTTGCCAGGTTGTCCTGATCCATAAATATTTATCCCTTTTTTTTTTATTAATCATGAGTAGCCAAAAGAAATGTAGTTCCCAAGCGGTCCCCCATCTAAGTACTGACCTGACTCTACGATACTTAACTTCGGTGATCGAACGAGAACCGGTGTTTTCATCGTGATTTGACCGTAAGCACCTGGTACTGTAAGCCCCCAAACTCCAACCCTTACCTCACAGTCGGTGGGGGGGGTGTAAACGGTAGTGTCAGAGCTATGCCGTCCGGAACTTCGTTCCTGGTAGGGCCACCCAAGGCGGACAGGTCTGACACACACGCCGGCTAACAAGGGCTCTGGTGAAAATCCAAGGAGCGTCTGGATCGGTAACCGGCGGCTTCTGGTCGTTCCCGTCTCTGCGTCTGTGGGAACCCCGCGGCAAGCAAGAACGTTATCCGAGTAGGCCTCGGTACCCTACTTCTGTAATTTATCCCAAGAATCTTCTTCTCATAACAGGAAGAAGCCGGCTCAATCCGCCCAGGGTGAATGCCGCATCAATACAATACAAATACAAAAAAGAAATGTAGGCAGTATGTTGAGGAGTATTTGGCTTATGGCTTTTGTAGAAAATCCGTTTGATCAAAGGCACTCTATGTGTCTTATTTCCAACACCTCATTTTCTAAGGAAGTGATGAAACTCTCAAGGTTTTTACACTATTTAAAAAGAAAACATCCTGACAAAGTGAACAAGTCTATTGCTTATTTTGAAAAAAAAAAGAAAAATGAAATACTCTTTCATCTTATTTGAAAAGAAAAACTACAGAAACAAATGAAAATGGCTTGATTACATCTGCTATAGCACAAGTAATTTCAAAAACTGGAAGTGCATAGTTGCTGAAAATGTTATTAAGCCTTCCTTTGAAATTCTCACAGAAACTGTGTTGCAGCAAGATTCAGCAAATGTCTTAAAAGCATTGTCACTGAGCAATGATTCAATCTGGAGAAGAAGTGATGAAATGTCAGATGTGAAAAGCCAACTAATTGAAAACTTCAGAAGCACTAAATTCTCTTTTCAGATTGACAAATCTACATAAGCAATAATAAACCTATTCTTATGGCATCATTATAAAGATGATTATTGCAAACCATGTGAAGAGTTGTTGTTTGTGAAACATTTAGAAACTGATACCATTGAATTATCCAGTTTTGAAGCTGAAAAATCTTGATAGGTATAAATCAAGTACCCTTTGAAAATTTGGTATCTTGCACAACAGTTGGTGCTACATCCATGTTTGGTAAGCATAAGGAATTTATTGAGCATTTAAAAAAAAGTCCTATTCTTGCTGTGCATTGCATGGCACATCATCTAGTTGCCAAATTTATTAGTCCTTATTTTCCATTTTTGAAGCTGCAAAATCTCGGCTTGATGTAAACCAAGTACTCTTTGTGTTGTGGATTCCGAGATGAATTCGGTGTACAATGAAGAACAAACGCAATAATTAAATATAAGAAATAAAATGTATTTACACAATCATACAAAGGGTAATACTGTTAGTAAATCCAGGAACACCGTTAGTAGCAAATACAGATAGATATATATATACAGTTTCGAAGTAGGACTTCCTTAGAGTCTACGTGCTTGTAACTGACTTCTACAAGAGGTTACCTCACTCTATCCGACCACCGACACTGTCGACTACTCTCACTGACTGTCTAACTCTGGGTATTTAACGGCAGTAGTCCAGTTACACTTGGTCGAGTCCACTTATATGTAAAAGGGGAGGATCCCATAACACTTTGAAAATTTGGTATCCTGCGCAACGGATGATGTTCCATCCATATTTGGCAAGCTTAAGGTATTTATTGCGAATTTAAAAACATATGTCTTTCTAATCTTGTCGTGCATGGTGCATCGTAATCTTTTAGTTGCCAAAAATATTAGCCCTGATTTTCATGGGTCATTGACAAAATTTATTAAATCAGTCAATAAAATAAAATATCACAGCAAATCTTTTTCGAAAGATTTGTATGGTATCGAAGAACAACATATAAGGCTTATTATCCACAAAGACGTCCATTGGCTTTTGAAAGGAAACTGCCTGAACTGATCTGGTACAATAGTTAATTTCTTGGAAAATGTGGGTGAGAAAAATTTGGCAGAGGAATTCGGGCATCTCATATGTAACATTTATTTTTAGCATGGATTTTGCGAAAGTACATTGACGTTTCACTCCAGATTTAAGGTGAATTAAGCACCAGCCAAGAACCTCCTGCCAACAGAATATCTTTGTTATTAACGTGCGGATTGGGACTCGTTCCGTGACTTTCTCCGTGACGTCCGTTGGAATGCAGTTTTTAATCACCCTGTTCATAAATGCACATCTGAGGTCTCCTCCTGGGCGAAAGCCGGTATCGAAGCTTTCATTCCAGCAAGAAAATACCAAGTTAAACTGCATTTTTCTACTTGGTTCTCACCTGCATGCA